AGCAGTGAGAATGACCACCGCAGTGGGTGATCATGTGTGTTTAGATGCATGAGTGCATATGGTTGTTCAAAAGAGAAAACCTTCATATCATCTGAAAGAACCAACTCATTATTTTGCAAACTGACAAATACAGACTGAAAAAAATCAAGCATTTATCCTGCCGTTATTAGATGAAATGAACCTCAGGGTAACCAAACAATTCATAAGAGGAAGTTTCTCTTTGTAGAGGAATTCTAGCTAAATGATGAAGAATTGGAGTATCACCATTTTGCAACCCCTTATGACAGTGAATCTAGGCAGTGATCATCAGTGACCACCAATATCACAAAAAAACTAACTGTGCATTAAATGCCCCTGATGGAAGTTAAAACACTGATCAAGCCTTTAGATCTATTACAGCAAATACAGGGGACAGAAGGACATGTTAAATGCCACCTTTAGAATGCAATCAGCAAAATCTAGACTATGGGAAACCTTGCAGGATGAATGACCCTGCTTCTTCAACTAATAAATTGGAAGGAAAAAACTCAGAGAGGGAAAGGAAACCTCTAGGTGATAAAAGAGACAGGAACTCATTGGAATGTATGGACCTTATCTGTACTGATTCAAACTATAAACAACAACAAAAACAACAAGGAGACAGAAAAATCTGAACATTTGCTAGCTTTTAAAACATGATATTCAAGAACAATTGATAAGTATTTCTGGCTGTGACAGTGGTGTTATGGTTATATTTTTTTTTCAATTTCTTACCTTTGGAGATATACATGAACATATTTACAGATAAAATCAAATGATACCTGTGATTTGTTTAAAGTAATATTGAGGGTGGGGAGAAAGTAGAAGGGTATAGGTAAAACAAGACTGGCCATGAGTTGAAACTGGGGCATGGGATATATGGGAGTTTACTATTTTGTGTATATGTTTACATTTTTCCATTAAAAGTTAGAAAACATATGTCCAGGCAGGAAAAAACGTTTACTTGTGAAAAGATGTTTACACTGTATGAAATATATAAGTAACTATTTCACTGATTTGAGTGACTTTCTAAGCATAAAATAAATGAATAACATACTAAGGAAAAGACTGCTACTTTACACAACATTGTAAAATGACTATAACTCAATTAAAAAAGTTAAAAAAAAAGAATAGTTACTAAAGCCACAAAAAAAAGACTGCTACTTTAAAATAAAAACTAAAAATGTGTGCATGCTTTTAAAACATCATAAAATTAAAATAAACACTAAGAAAAAAATACTTGCAACATAGGACAAATAAAAGGCTAAAGTGTTTAAAATATAAGGGAATTAATAATAATAGCTAATACAGTGTGCTTATAATGCACTAGGCACTTGTATAAGCACTTTATAAAACCCATCAGCTATTATAAAATGGAAAAAGTACAAATATTCCTTGGTCTAATAGGTATCTCCTAGAAGAAGTTCAAATAATCAATAAACAAATAAGTATATATTTAACTTCATAATAGTCAAATAGTTGCAATTTAAATTGTACTAAGATTTTAACCCATCAACATAGTGAAGACTGGTATTAATGATTAACACCTCTTGTTGATGGTTCAGGGAAGTGGCTGACTTCTTACCTTGCTAGTGGGCATGTAAGTCGGAAGAATCTTTTTTGGAGAGCCATTGAGCAATATTAACTGAGTCTGGAAAACATTTTTACCTTTGAGCACATTATTATGCTCTCAGGAATTCACAGCATTGACATGATCAGAGATGCATATACAGGCGTGAGTGTTAGGCAGTTCATAAGAGTTTTCTCTGCAATCAAGAAAAATTGGGTGGGGGGTATAGTTCAATGGTAGAGTGCATGCTTAGCATGCAAAAGGTCCTGGGTTCAATCCCCAGTACCTCTATTAAATAAATAAATAAACCTAATTACCTTACCCCCCAAAGACAAATTAAAAATGATTTTTTCAATTATGAAAAAAAGAAAAATTGGAAGCAACCCAAATTCCAAAAAGGAAAAAGGAACATTTAAATAAATTGTAAAACATCAATACCTTAGAATACTAGGGAATTATTCAAGTCATGTTGTCAAGTGGAAAATAACCCATCAACAAGTGAATGGGTACTTTAATTGTGGAGTATCTATGTAATGAAACATTACTCAGCAACAAAAAAGAATAAATAACTGACATACACAGCAGCATGAATGAATCTCAAAACATTATACAGAGCAAAAAAAAGAGTCAGACAAAAAAGGGAGAATATACTGTTTGAATCCATTCATATGGAATTCTAGAACAGGTAAAACATATCTCTAACTAAAAGAAGTCACATTCGTGGTTGCCTCTCAGGTGAGTCCAGGGGTTGATCTGGAAGGAACACGAGGCACCTTTCTGGAAGGATGGAAATGTTCTATTTCTTGATGGGTGTGTGTTAATTGGGTATATCCTTTTGTCAGACTCACTCCCCTTTACCTACTTAACTTCTGCTCAGACTTCATGTAAGCTCTTGCTTTTGATTCTAAATAAATTCGACCTCAAAAGTTATTTTCCAAGATTTAATAAAATAGGTAAGATTTTCAAATTACAGTCTTAATAGAAAAAAAATGCTATGCATATAACACAATCCTAATTATATTTAAAAAATAAATGAAAATGGATAAAGATACAGAGATAGAAATGGCAGGAAGGATGTATTCCACTCAACATGTACACCTTTCATCATTAGAGAAAACAGTGAGTATTCTCCAAACCATGCTTTATGCAGAATTCCCCCCTTTACCTTTATATTCCAGCTTTGGCCTCCTTGCAGTTCCTCAAATACAGAACTTGTTTCCTGTGCCCCTGACAACCTCCTCCTCCTCCACCCTCCAGCTACTTAATTCCCATTGCATCTGGAGTCAGCCAAGCCACAAGGTCAAGGGTGCGTCCTCTAGCCTGCCAAGTCGGCTGAGACTTCTGATACTGACTGCAAGCTTAGCGGTTTCCCAGAACCACCCTCAGAGTCAGTCATCTGCCACAGAGGCTCAATTCCCAGAAACCTATTATACTCGTGGCTCCATTTAGTACAGAGAAAGAATACAAATAAGAAACAGCCAAAGTTGGGAGAGACGCACAGGGCAGTCTGGTCAGTTTCCAAACGTGGCGCTTCTGTCGTCCTTGGGCACGTTACCCTCCTAGTATTTATATGTTACAATATGCATGGAGCATTGTCCATCCAGGAAGCTTACCGAGCTCGGGTGTCCTAAGTTTTTACTGAGGGTTCATTCCATAAGCATGATTGATTGATTGATCAATTG